GGCTCAGGGATCTCCTGGGGAGCTCAGGGGTCTCCTGGGGGGCTCAGGGATCTCCTGGAGGGCTCAGGGGTCTCCTGGGGGGCTCAGGGATCTCCTGGGGGGCTCAGAGGTCTTCTGGGGAACTCGGGGGTCTCCTGCGGGGCTCAGGGATCTCCTGGGGGGCTCAGAGGTCTCCTGGGGGCTCAGGAGGCTCCTGGGGGGCTCAGGGGTCTCCTGGGGGGCTCAGAGGTCTCCTGGGGGCTCAGGAGGCTCCTGGGGGGCTCAGGGGTCTCCTGGGGGGCTCAGGGGTCTCCTGGGGGGCTCGGAGGTCTCCTGGGGGACTCAGGGATCTCCTGGGGGGCTCAGGGATCTCCTGGGGGACTCAGGGATCTCCTGGGGGCTCAGGGGTCTCCTGGGGGACTCAGGGATCTCCTGGGAGGCTCAGAGGTCTCCTGGGGGACTCAGGGTTCTCCTGAGTCGCTTTTCCCTGCCCTTGCCTGCTATGCCAGGTGCTGAGGATGCTGGAGAGCACTTCCAAGAAACCACTGCAAGGACCACCAGCTCAGCCCCCATCCGTCCCAAGGATGGTAGGTCTCAAGGTATCACCAGGGACATGGTGCCAACCCTGGGGACCCTCTGCACCAGCACAGGGTGGGAACAGAGGCTAAAGGCTTTAGCAGTGCTTGAAGCACTGACCTGGAGCAGCCATGCTTGGTGGTACTGTTAAACCATGACCTCTCCTGGTACCTCCAAGGCTGGTCCAGGCAGAGGAAGGGATGGATCCTTGGTGGGGAGATGAAGGGATGGACCTCAGTGGGGACAGGAGAGGATGGACCAACAGGGCTGAGCCAGGAGCAGAGATTATTATCTGCTCCTTCCACCTGAACATCTGCTGCGTTGCCCTGGGGATCAGCCCCAGCTCCAACACCTGCCCTTGGGCATCCCCTTGTGCTCCTGTGAGACACAGCAAACACCTGCCCAGCCTTGGAGAAACCAGGGCTCTTCTTGCCCTGGGGCCAACCTGTCCGGGAAGGGACCCTTCTCCCCCAGCCCTGGGGTCCCAGCCCAGGGGGCCCTGGGGTGGGCAGGGGTCCTAGGGTGGGCAGGGACCCCTTCTCCCCCAGCCCTGGGGTCCCAGCCCAGGGGGCCCTGGGGTGGGCAGGGGTCCTAGGGTGGGCAGGGACCCCTTCTCCCCCAGCCCTGGGGTCCCAGCCCAGGGGGCCCTGGGGTGGGCAGGGGTCCTAGGGTGGGCAGGGACCCCTTCTCCCCCAGCCCTCGGGTTCCAGCCCCAGGGGTCCTGGGGCGGGCAG